ACAGGTATCTCCCACTCTTTGCTGTTGCACTGTTACCCTCACATCTCCAGGAGCCACCCCTGTTCCTCAGTAAAGCATGAAGGAAAAACCCCTCCTCCATCTCCTCATGCAGCTGCTTTTTCTTTCAAGTGCTTAAATTGGCCCTTGGTACAGAAATAGCTAGAAGAGATTTTTTTTTCTTAACAGAGAGAGGTTAATGGGGTTGCTGTTGCAGATGTTTCTGTGCTGATGAGTGACAAGTTCAGGAGACCTTGTCCTGGCACCGGGCTACTTTGCTGACATTTACTTTCTGTCTTAGGCTGATTCACCCAGCGAGTGGCCGCTCGTATCACGAGGAGTTCAGACCCCCGAAAGAGCACATGAAGGACGATGTATGTGAGCTCCCAAGGCCACAGCTTACGTTGCTTTGGGTTTAGCTGATGCTTTGCCACATCCCTGGAAAAACTTAATTTCTTTCCTTCTCTGGTACATTCTGTCCTGGCTTTCTGGGGAGCGGGGGGAACTGCCTGAGCAGCCTGAGCTGATGGGAGCGAGGGAGGAGGGATGAGTGAAGGGCCTGGCCGTTCTGCAGAGCTGGCCTGTGCTCTGCCGGCTTCAGAGCTTGTTGGACTCTGTCCATAGCTGAAGTTGCGGTGGGTTATGACTGGTTTCCATCCTGGGCAGCAACTGTAGCTGGTGTCTTGAGGCTCCTTGGGCTCCTTTTAGCCATCAGAGCAGTGCATGGGGGAAAGACCACGCAGGTGAATCCTTCTCTCTTCAGTGACTGCTTTGGTATTTGTTTTGGGTGCCCTGGGTTTGCCCTGCTCTCCCCTGCAGACCTGGGGATGGCATCCCAGGTGATCCAAGGGCTGGAGCACCTCTCCTGTGAGGACAGGTTAAAGAGTTGGGGCTCTTCAGCCTGGAAAAGAGAAGGCTCTAGGGAGTTCTTATAGCAGCCTGCCAATCCCTCAAGGGGGCCTACAAGAAAGCTGGGGAAGGACTTTTCATAAGGGCAGTTAGTGACAAAACAAGGGGAAATGGGTTTAAGCTGAAAGAGGGGAGGTTTAGATGAGATATTAGGAAGAAGTTCTTCACTGTGAGGGTGGTCAGACACTGGAACAGGTTGCCCAAGGAAGTTGTGGCTGCTCCTCCCTGGAAGTGTTCAAGGCCAGGCTGGATGAGGCTTTGAGCAACCTGGTCTAGTGGAAGGTGTCCCTGCTGATGGCAGGGGGGTTGGGACTGGATGAGCTTTAAGGTCCCTTCCAACCCAAACCATTCTATGATCTGCAGCTCCACGTTGTAGCCTGTCCTGGAGGAGGGGAGCAGGGGGGAACATGCCAGGCTGCAGCTAGCTGGAAACTGTCCCCTTGCTTCTCCCAGGTCACTGGAGAGCCCCTGATCCGCCGTTCGGACGATAACGAAACAGCCTTGAAAACCCGCCTGAAGGCCTATCACACACAGACCTCTCCCCTGGTCTCCTACTACAGCAAGCGAGGGATCCACACGGCGGTGGATGCCTCCCAGTCTCCCGACGTGGTGTTTGCTAGCATCCTGGCAGCCTTCTCGAGAGCAACATGTAAAGACCTGGTTATGTTCATTTAGGGCTCTGTCCCAGGACGGAGCTCTCCCTTTTCTCTCTCTCTCTGTTTCTCCATCTTTGTCTTTCTGGGGCCAGGGAGGGTTGAAGAGTTAAGCAGAGTAGAAGAGGAGGGGATGAGATGATGCAGCCCAAGGCAGGGCTGTGCTAATTCTCTTAATTATTAAACAAGCTGTTAACGGTCTGTATCTCAGTATATGTGAACCTCAGTCTGTCTGCGGATACTGGAGATCTGTCCCCTAGAGGTCGCAGCGAGCCCAAGCACCAGCTGCCAGAAATGGGGTTTGTACCCCTTTGGGTCCAAAGGTTTTTGTTTTTGTAGCTCCCTGGAAGGAGTTGTGCTCTCAGCTGCTCCACAGGGGACTAGCAGAAGGTTGGAAATCAAAACTGAGAAGTTGGGGAGGAGGGTGGAGGGGAAGAACCTTCCCAAGGTGCTGGATAGGTGATGGTGCTGCAGCTCTCTGTCAGCTGCAGGAAATGAAACACGAGCTTGTTTGTGGGCAGCATGTGAAGGGCTCTGTGTGTGTGTGTGTGGGCCAGGGGAGCAGCTGTGGGAGGGACAGCTTGGCTGTGTGCGTGAGTGCAGCCTGCTGCTGCTGCTCAGGGCTGGGTGAGAACTTGTTCTCGTTGTGTGTGTTTTATTCTCTGTGGGATGGCAGGTTACCTGAGAGCACAGCCTGTCTTCCTCCTGTTCTCATGGGGCTTGTGGGGCAGAAAGAAGGTGGAGTTTTCAGCATCTCATTTGTGGGCCCCAATAGAGCAAATATTAGTTACACGCTTTTTTGCTCTCTTTTAACAACATGAAGTCTCTGGTTAGAATCTTAACAGTCACTGTATGTGGCAAGTTGGGATCTCCTGAGGACAAGAAAAGGATTTGGGTTTTATCTTCACTCTCTTCCCTTGGCTTTGGCCAAGGAGATGAAGATGTGTTGAGCTTCTCCCAATTCTAAATAAAGCCTTATGGTAAACCAAATGATTTTTCAAGGCCTGAGAGACGGTGTTATTAACCACTGGCTTCATGTGCCCTTGAGCCAACGACCTTCGTTATGAGATCATGGAAATGTACTTGTTTCTTGAGCAAATCAAACAGCTCCATGGGGTCGTCCATTTGAGGACAGCACGTGCGGTGTGGTTAGTGCCACAGCTCCTCAGGGTCATTACGCTGCTATATGGTGACCCTGCAAGGCTGGCAGTGACCTTTGCTCAGGCAGGATTCCAGCCCTTCCTAGAGGACCCCGCTGTAAAAGCAGATTAGTCCAGATGAAACTTTGTCCTTTGGTGTTCCATGTATGTTTACTGATTTAGTGTTACTGAGTACTCTCCTCTTTTTGAGGAGCTGGCCTGTCTCCTTCCTGTGCACTGAGCTGCCGTGTGTCCACAGCAGATGTCTCATCCTCAGGAATCTCTTGCTCTTTTTCTTGATAATTTCTCTTTTGTCTGAAAAATCTCTCTCTGTCCTTGTACCTCCTTTCCAGGGAAACAACCTCTTCCCTTCCAGCAAACTGGAAATAACACCAGGAACTGAAAGCAATTGACTCGTTGCTCTTGAAAACACGTGACTGCGGGGAGAGAGGGTTGGAAAGTAAACGGTGCTGGTTTCATCAGCAGCCTGCAGTCCCCTGAGGTCCCCCAGATGGCTGATTGTCCATCGTCTCTGGCTTTCCTGTCAAAGGGCAGCCCCAGCGTGTGGCTTCGGCACGCTGGGAGGTCGGGATAGCATTTAGCATAGGACTGCTGTGCTCCAGGGTAGTGGAGAGAAAGTGTTAGAGCTGCCCCGGCATCTTGATAATGGGAAAGAAATTCTAAGTGGAAGCAGCTTCTCTCTTGGCATCTCGAGGGTCAGAGAGGAGAGCTGCAGCCCCCCATGTGTTGCTGTAATGACAGGAGGGGTTCCTGGCCAGTTGGATTTGGTCAAGGTCTCCCTCCACAGATGAACAATGTGTTCTTCCACTCTCCATTCCTTTTTTTCTTTGTGCTCACTTTGCCTCCAGCTCACCACCTTTTTTCTTCCATAAACCATGATTCATTTGGGGTTTGTTTTTTTTTTTTTTCCCCTAAATCTATCTTTTTCTTTGTTCCCATTTATTCCAGCTGAGTGACTCCGTGAACCAGATGAGAGACCACCAAATGCTGCACGCTCTGCTCCATCACCCGTTGCAGCCCTCCCCTGGGGGCAGGGGAGGCAGGGAGGGCAACTGGGAGGGGGTTCCGACTGATGGGAGGGGAATAAGGAGGTGGTAGACAAGGGGCTTGGGGAGGGGGGGCTGATTTGGCTGGTGTTTGTTTGGATTTCTTATTCAGCAGAATCATTGTGAAGAGGAGATGGCCTTCTCCTTAGAAATCAGTTTGGTGAGGCACAACAATTGTACAGAGTGAAGCATCTCTGCCAGGGATGAGATGCAGGTCTGTGACCTGTGAGGAAGGAAGGGCTAGAGGCTGTTCCACGTTTCTCCAGGACTTTCAGGGCTTTGTCTCCTGGGTGCTTAATACTCTGAGGCCACTACAAGGTTTGCTGTGATTTTTTTTTTTTTTTGTGAAGTTGCTTCCTGTCAGCGAGGACCAAAATGAACAAATGACTCATTTCTGAAATGGAAAGGGAAAAAAAAAAAAAGCCATGGTCTTTTCCTGGAAGTTTTGTTTTTCTTGTTCTGCTGCATTCCTAAACCCAACATTGAGACTTCCCAAGGTTTCTCTGCTGCTGAACAGAGGGGCTGTGGCTCTAGTCCCAGCTTGCCTTCCTTGGCATTGGAGTGGCTTTTCTATCATCTTGACCAAGCTGGAATTCACACAATGCTGAAGAAATGCAAAACAGGCTTTCTTAATTGACTGCAAAAATAACACTTAATTGGGGATGGTTTTTTTGCATTTCTTTTTAGATCAAATGGTGCCTTGTCTAACCTCTGAATCAATAATAAAATAACCCCTTTACATTTTGTATCTGTTGCTGTGTCCTCTTTGACCTGCAGACAGCGTGGAAGATGAGTGGAGGCAGATGACAGCAGAGCCAACTAACAATTGAGCTGGGTGGATCCTTGGGCCTGATCCTATCTCACTGATGTTGTTCTGTGCACTTGAAAATGTGGCTTGTAATTCCTTTTATCTCTTTTCCTTGCTGACTGTGTTCCAATGCTTTACATCACCATAGTAATGGTGTCTTTTGCTGCTTTTTCTCTCTCCTGTTTCTTCATGAGTGATGCTAAAAGCACTGAGCCCCTGTGTATCCTGACCCTTCCTGGGCAGAGCTCCTTTCAGGTATTTTAACTGATGTAATTCTGAGCCTTTCCCCCCTCCCTTCACGTCACTAGTGTGTGGAGAAGCTGTTACTTCCTTCTCTCCTCCTGCACATATTGTGTCTTGTTTCTGGTTATTTGCCTTCTGTCTTTCATATCCTTTTGCATCCTTCCCTTCCCCTCCACTGGTGCCTCTCTCCAGCTGCACAGGGCAAAATCTCTCATGCAAGAAACCAGAGTGTTTCCTGGCCTCCCTTCTTCCTGCCTCCACAGGGCCCTGACCCTCTGAGATACAGGGTAGGTTTAGATGAGATATTAGGAAGAAGTTCTTCACTGTGAGGGTGGTCAGACACTGGAACAGGTTGGGCAGAGAAGCTGTGGCTGCTCCTCCCTGGAAGTGTTTAAGGCCAGGTTGGATGAGGCTTTGAGCAACCTGGTCTAGTGGAAGGTGTCCCTGCTGATGGCAGGGGGGTTGGAACTGGATGAGCTTTAAGGTCCCTTCCAATCCAAACCATTCTATGATGATTCTATGATATCTCAGAGAAAGGCTCTTCTTGATGTGCTGATGGAGGGTTGTTGTTTTTCCACAATGCCTTTGGTACCCCCCTTGCAGCCCTGCTTGTGTTTGGGGCTTTGGTTTAGGCACTGTGGACAGGCACCAGGAAGGATCAGGCTGCACATGCCCGTTTCCTCCAGAAAGGGCTGGTTTCTTCAGCATAATTGGGTGTTCTCACTCCTCAGCCATTCAGTCTCCCTGTGCTCTGGTGTTTTTACCACCTCTCTGTACCTCTCATTAGCATTTTCTGTCTTTTGAAGGCAAGCTTGTGCCTCTCTGGCATTTGTGGTGTTCTTCCCTTGTTTCTTTTGATGATGGATGTTGAACTATGCTCTTCCTCGTTGTTTGGGATTGTGTCTTCTGCTACTTGCCTGGTGGTGTTAAAAAAACAAACCTGTTCTGCCTGCTCCTCCTGGCTTTCTAGTACGTGGGATGGAGAAGTCTTGGCTCCTCTGAGCTGGGCTTCTTCTGTTTGATCCTTCCCTAAGTGTGGAGTGTGAAATGAATTCTCGGGGTGCTGTGGGAGAGGCTGCTGTGCAGAGGCTGTTTAGCTCAAGTCTACATTCTCTGTAGTTGGATCTGTTCTGTGACCTGTCTCTGTCACGTTGACCTTGAATGTTTTCCACAGCATGCAATGCTCTGCAGGTGCTGTAAATTCCTTCTGTTCAATGATTTCACTCCAGCAAGCTGCTTATCAGGCGCTCTTTTGAAAACTGTGTTCGGATTTCATACACACAATTATTCAGCAACTATAAAAGGGGAAAATTCCTATTTATAGCATAAGGACCAGCATCAAATAGGACACTGAATTCTCACTGATAGAGGAAGTGACCTGTTCTCTAATGCAGCAATAATTCTGCTGAAAAGAAGCAGCTTCTTGGATGTGGGGGGAGGGATGAAAAGCCCTGGGCCATCTCTTTCCATTAAAAATGTGCTGCAGTCCTAAAAATACAGAATCTGCCCTTCTCCCTTCCTGGTGAAACCATCTGTGAAAGAGAGATTGCAGAAAAACCTTTCACTGTGGATTTGTGGTTAGTAATAATGAGTCCACTGACTCCTGATGGTCTGGTTTGGAGCTGGTCTTAAGTTTCTGATCGATACCTGATCTCTGACCTTGACCTGGGAGCGAGGAGAAGTCACTACAGAGTGCCTGCTGTGGGCAAGAAACACAAATCCCTCGTCTGTAGAGGGTTTGTACAATCGTGGTCCGTGTGTGCACAGCCCTGAAACAAAGAGCACGTGGGGCTGAGAAACAAAGAGCTGGCTGAGAGCAATGAAGGGAGGGGGTGGAAAGGTGGGAAGAGCGCTGGGGACACGGGTGGTAACTGCTGTGGAGAAGGTGAGTGCATGTTTTGTCTGAGCCTGCTGCCCATGACTGCCTCTGCTCTCTCCCTTCCAGGTATGTTGAACCACTGCTTCCCCCAAGGCCATTGCTGGCCTTTCCTGCCGCTGTCCCCTGTTGTCACCACGTCCTTCCCGTGGTCTCCAGGCTCTTTAGGAAGAGCTGCAGTGGGTGATATTGAGCGAGGTGGCTGTGGGAAGTGGAGGACCAGAGGATGGGATTCCCTCTCCTGTCGCTGTGGCAACCGTTGGGATGGGAAGCAGCAGCGGGGTGTGGTGGTGTGCAGGGGTGTGATGCGGAGGCAGGGCTGTGCTGACATCACACCCAGGAGGTGGCGCAGAGGGAAGGGGAGAGGCAGGGAGACTGCGGAGGGAAGAGAGCTGCATCGGGAGTGGGCTCCTGGGTGAGGTAAGAGATGTTCTGGGGACGGTGGGTCAGGGTGGGCTCCACGAGTGGCTGTGGGATCAGAGCCTGCCTCGGCATCTTTCTGGGTAGCGTGCTGATGTGGGGTGGCTCTTGGGCAGCAGAGCTATTATACAATGTCCTCCCAGCCTGGCACAGCAGGGCTTGGTTCTTGGACAGTGAGACTTTGAGACTGGCTGGCTGGTGCAGAAGCTGCAAACACATCCCCCCAGGGTACCAGTGTGTGTCACTGACTGTACTGGGAAGAGCCAGGAGTGCCTGAAATTCCAGGATGGGCTAAAGGGACTAGGGAGCAGCCTTGGTCCCTCTCTGGAGAAGGGGATTGGAATTCCCTCTTGTGATTAGAGCATGAATCATTAATGAAATTAATCAGAAGTTTAGAGACCTGATCCCCTTCAGTTGCATCGAGCTAATGAGAGGCTGTAAGTGGAGCTGGTGCACTGGGACTGAGCCCAACAACGTGCATTTGGGATGAGAATCCTAAACTCCAGGTCTCCAGCAGCCTCAGCACTCACCCTGCCTGTGCAGGAAGCAGGAGTTCTGGGGAAGGCAGCAGCCAGGTGCACAGTTATTGCCAGGAGCTCTCTCTGGATGTGGATCCTGGGGATCTGCAGACCTGGAAGGTAAAATAACACAAGTCCTTGAAAGTGCCCTGGATGTCATATTGCCTTTTAGCGTAACGGTTGCGTAACGGGATCCGATCAGCTGGCGGAGGAACGAGGGGTGACGGTCACCTCTGTGCCCTGCAGCATCCCAGCCGTACCTGTGCGCTGTGCTGGCCCGTGGCCCTGGGCTGAATTTCATCTCTTCCTAACCCCAAAACTGGGCTCATTCTTTAAATGCTTAAAGAAGCTGGTGAGGGTAACAGAGCCCTGGGACAGGCTGCCCAGGGAGGGTGTGGAGTCTCCTTCTCTGGAGACATTCAAGACCCACCTGGACGCCTTCCTGTGTGATCTCATTGAGGTTCCTGCTCTGGCAGGGGGATTGGACTGGATGATCTTTTGAGGTCCCTCCCAATCCCCAACATTCTGTGATTCTGTGGTTTACAATCCTAAGTCCATGACAGTGGGGTGTATGGACTCTACACCTACACGCAGGCTGGGCAGCAGTGCCCTGCAGTATGTTAGCAAGCTAGAAAGGGAGTTTGTTAGCACCCACTCCATCTGTGCCAACCTGCCTTATGCCCTCGATGTGTATCTGACAGAGGAAAGTACACCTGGGATCAGGAGACCATTGCTGGTAAACCCCTGTGGGTGTCAGAAACCAGTACTAGAGATGGAAGAAGCACAAAGCAGAAACTCAGTAGGGCTGAAGAAACATTGTTTGAAATCAAAGAGCAGGGAGAGAGACCAATGCTGCTGTCAGAACTGTTCTGTTGAAATAACTTTCACACGTTTCACCTGTTATTTAAAGGACTGGGGGAAGCAGTGGGGTCATGGAGAAACATGGCCAGGAATGTTTCAGTGTGCATGAGAGAGCAGAACTGCAGTAAGGAACAGAAATATGCTTTAATTAGGGAAGGCTGTTGCTGTGAGATGCACGATCCTCCCCACAAAGGCACAGATGCTGGGTCTGTAGGGAGCATTTGGGAGTGGCCCAGGGCTTGTTTAATGGTAACTCTGCAAAAGCAACAGCCTGTGCTGCTGTGTGGGATTTCTGTGGGATTTCTGTGGGATTTCTGTGGGATTTCTGTGGGAGCAATGGGTCCAAGCCCCCATGCTCGGAGGATTTTTGGAGCAGGCTGAGGTGTTGTCACCCAGATGGTGGTGTGGCCAGCTGCAGTTTCTGCCTCTGATGCTGGATGGGCAGGGGAGGAGAGGAGCTGCTAGCAGCTCTCTGTGCCAGCCCTCAGTGCTACACAGGGCAGCTGTGGTGGGAAGGAGCCAGCTCTGGATGGACTCAGGCGCTCCCAAATGA